TTTTTTTTTGGTTTTTCGAGACAGGGTTTCTCTGTGTAGCTTTGCGCCTTTCCTGGAACTCACTCTGTAGCCCAGGCTGGCCTCGAACTCACAGAGATCCGCCTGGCTCTGCCTCCCGAGTGCTGGGATTAAAGGCGTGCGCCACCACCGCCCGGCAATACTACAGCTATTAAAGAATTAGTAAGAATGTAAACATCCTTGTGACAGTTCAACAACGTAAAGGAAATAGAATTTGATTTCTAATTATTGGGACTTTTTTTTCAGATGCCTCAGTTAATTCCACAGGAGTAAAATAATTGAATGATTTAAGTTGTTTGAGAATCATGCTATGGTCAGAAAAAAGTCCATTTTTGTAAATTTCTTATCCGTGGTTCTTGTTAGGTGGAATGCTTTCTAAATGTGGATCAGATCAAGTTGGCTGGGAGAGGTCAAGTCCACCATTCCTGCTCAGTTTTTACTTGCTTTTTTTTTTTTTTATTGATTTATTGAAAAGTACTCAAATTGCCTTCTGTAATACTTGTGGATTTGTATATTCCTCTTGCAGTCTATCAGGTTTTGCTTCACATATTTTGAAACTCTTATTTGATGCATACATGTTGAGAACTGTTGACTAGCTGACTCCTTTATCATGGCTTGTCCTTTATCTCTATGATACTAACAAAGTCAATCCAGTATGGTCTGGCTAGTCTTAGCATGGCATATAAAAAAAATCAAAAAAACAAAAAAACAAAAAAACAAAAAAAAAAACCTTTTCTGGGGGTTGGAGTGATGGCTCAGTGGTTAAGAGCACTGACTGCTCTTCCAGAGGACCCAGCTTCAATTCCCAGAACCCACATGGCAGCTTACAACTTTCTGTAGCTCCAGTTCCAGGGGACCCAACACTCATTCATGGCAAAACACCAATGCACATAAAATAAAAATAGAAAACCTTTACTGAATTTTAACCAGTTGAGTCCATGTTTCCAAAGTAATGTTTTCTGTTTATTTAACTTCATTTTAGTTAATAATAAAAATTATATACATTTATGGTATACATTGGTTTCCAAAGTCAATTTTATTGGAAGCTGTTTAATAAGATTCTCTTTTGTGTGGCTGTACTTACAATTTCAGTATCGGTCATTCCTTTGTAAAGGTCTAGACTTCTGCCTGCTGTCAGTCTGTGTGTGCGTGTAAAGTGCTCCCTTAGAGTAACAGGCCCCTGGTATACAGCATGTTATCTCATTTGTTCTCCTGGATTTGTTCTGTGAATTTGATCGTGGATGTGGTTGTTTATGCATCCACTGTTTTTATTTGATTCATTTGCCCCACCCGTTGATGTGTGCGTGCGTGCATGCATGCATGCGTGCGTGCGTGCACACCGGGGGTCACTGTTCTGTCAGTATAGCTTAGTGATCAGCTAGTGGTAGATCACAGGCTGTGTTCAAACACTTCAACCTTGTAAAACTACTCTGGTGAATATGTGTATGGGCTGAGAAATGTATCCAAAACTCAGGCTGTTGGTCCAGATTTCATCTCAACGTGTGCAGTGGCCAGTGATGTACAGAGGACTGTAACTCCGTTCTCTTCTGCATAAACATAGCCTTCTGACTAGCCAGGAGTGTAGTGAGACCTTGAGTTCTCTTGAGCCCTCCTCGTGTGTGTGTGTGTGTGTGTGTGTGTGTGTGTGTGTGTGTGTGTGTGTGTGCAGACTTCCTTCCTGTCATGTAGAGTTACTGGACTTTACTGAGGTCTTCAGTGGCTCTCATTTCTAACATCTCCCTGTTAATTTCTCAGCCAGTCCATTGATCAGATGCTCACCTTGTGTCAAATCGTGAGTCTAGATTCACATAGCCTTGGGCTGTCCCCATTTATTCCTCTTAAGTTTGTGATTTTTTTTAAGTCTTGGATCTGAGACAACGGGCTTTATCTCCTGGGAACACCAGCAGCATCACTCACTACCAGCATTGTTTTCACGGGTTCCTCTTGCACACAAAGTCCACGTAAGTGATAGAAGAACCAGTGGATGAGCCTGCAGTGAGCCTGGGGAATCTGCTACCCTTAGAGCAAGCGCTAAGCTAGTTGTTGTCTGTCTGTCCTGGAGGGAACCCCTAGCATCCTATCTCAGGATTACTCAAGTAAACACTACCTCAAGAAAACGGTGGCCAGCGACTGGCATTGTTGACAAGCCCCAGTGAGACCTGTAGGAATGCTAAAGGCCCAGAGACGACAGCGTGTTTCTCTTGAACAGTTTATTGGAATGGAGCTAATATGTTCTATGTTTATTTAGATGCCTTATGGTCTTCGTTGATATCTCCTTTTTATATCCAGTACTGTTATTTATGTCCTCTCTGTCTCTCTTAAGCATGTCCACCAGCAGTTAGTTTATTTTATTAGTCTTGTTCAAGTAATTATATTTTGTTCTTATTGAGCCTATTTTATTTATTTTTTATTTCTTTAAATTCTGGTTTTATTTATATTTTATATTTGAATCCATGTCCTATTTATTTTCATGGGTGTGGGTGTTTAGGTAGTTAATTCTCAGACTCTGTTTCCTTTTTTTCTCCTTTTTAAAAACTTAAGTTTATGTGTATGTGTGTATGACCAATTTAACATTTTCTTCAAGCAACACATGTATGTATTGTGATGATTAATGCAACATTTGAAGCAATTCAAAAGAGAGTGGGAAAGGCTGAGTCAGTTTACCATGGACATTAATGACTTCTAGCTCACTGGTGCAGGTGATGTCAGTGTTGAATGGGGAAGTAGATGTCTGTTCAGTCTGTCATTAGTAGTTTTGGATATTTGGGAGGAGTGGCAGGTGAGGCAGTGTTTATTGATACTTATTGATATTTTTTGATACATGGAGAAGTTCCATGGTTGGTAGAGTGGTAAACTGTGCAACTACCTGCATCCAGCACCTTCATCTTCTATCAGAACACACTCAGGAGAAGGTGAAGTCCGTGACAATAGATGGCATTGCTTTCCCTTTTCAAATGACCTTGGTGGTCTAGCCCTTCCTACTTGGTTACTAAATGGTAGCCCAACAAATGATCAGCCTCACACAAAAAAATCATGGAGTAGCTGTTATTTTAACTAATCAAATTGCAACAAAGATTGATTAAAAACTAAACGTTGTTTGTTCCTTCATTGGGGAAAACTGGGGACATTCTGCTATAGAGGCTAGTTTTCCATTGAGAACAAAAGCAAAGGTTTGCAACATTGTCCAAGTCACCACAATACAGTTTCAAATCCCGCCTCGGGGATTTAGAGATCCTGGCCTTACTGCTATTTCATCACAAACAAGAGGTTCTTTGAATTTCTGGAAATAGGAGAACCAGAGGAAGAATACTGACCCAAACCTCAATGCATACAGTTAGATTGATGATGTGATATTCATTGTATGTACAGGTAAGTAGTTTATATTTTACTTTACTATGCCAGAAGAAATGGAGGAGGAGAAGGGGGCGGGGGCACTGATTCTAAGAACTCCCAGAGGAAGAGGGGCAAGCAAAGGAAACCGACGGAGAAGAGGCAAGAAAAACACAAAGGCCAAGTGTGGCAGCACCCAGGCAACACTGGAAAAGACAATGGTCAACTTTGACAATGGCCAGAGAAAGATGGGGCATTAAGGAGCAGACAGAGGGTTCAAGATATCAGCCACAACATGTCGGCAGTTTGAGCCGTGGCTATCTACTAGCTCCCAAGGTCAATGGTACGTCCAGCCCGGCTGCGTGGAGAGGAGAGTAACCTGGAGCTCTGTGCAGCATGCCTCTGAGACCAGGCCCAGACTTCCAAGCCCAGTTTGCTATCCGTGGGCTCCCTGGTTGGGGTCAAGTTCCTTTCCTCGGCAGCAAATGAAAATTGTCAGAATTAGCCCGGCATGGTGGTGCACACACTTGAATCCCAGCACTCAGGAGATAGAGCCAGGACCTCTAAATTGGAGGCCAGCTTGCTTTATGCTAAGTCTCAACCCTGGGACAAATGGCTGAGGTGTCTATTTAACATATCAAAGCAGACCTGGTTGCTAGTTCTCCCAGCATCCCTCAGTACCTACCTGTTACACTGTAGGGCTGGCATAGCCCGCCCTCTATCTATCCGGAACTCTCTAGCCCCGGGACTGGGCTGCCCATACCCCAGAGGCTCTTCCCTATATAATGCAGACATTTTGGCTACTCGCCCTTCCTTTACCTTTTGCTGTCTTGGTTGCTTTACCTGGGTCCTCTCTCACCCCGGCCCTTCCCCCTCCCCCTCTCCTCACAGGGCTCAGGGTCATGTCCACTATGGACTCTCCCAGATGCTTCTACCTCTAATTATACTCTTATCTACAATAAACTTTCTCCTCCACCGCACCTAGGAGCAGTCATCCTTTTTATTTCTTTTTTCAACTCATCATACGAAGTGAGTTCCAGGACAGCCAGAATTACATAGTGAGATCCTGTCACACCAAAAATGTCAGAATTAAAAGGGAGAGAAGATCTAACTGAACTTTTGAGGTATGACCAGCATCGGAGCCTGAGTTAAAAATCAAGTTTGGAGCCGGGCGGTGGTGGCGCACGCCTTTAATCCCAGCACTCGGGAGGCAGAAGCAGGTGGATCTCTGTGAGTTCGAGGCCAGCCTGGTCTACAGAGCGAGATCCAGGAAAAGGCGCAAAGCTACACAGAGAAACCCTGTCTCGAAAAACCAAAAAAAAAAAAAAAAAAAAAAAAAAAAAAAAAAAAAAAAAAATCAAGTTTGGGGACTCTGAAAGGTTTGTAGCTTGGCTTGATTTTTGTTGTTGGCTAGTTTGGTTGTTTTTTGTTGGTCTTGGGCGTTACTTGGACTGTAAGGAACAGACAGAAGCCAAACTCCTTTCCGGGCTTCTCCTAGCCTGGAATTTGGGACTTAATTTAAAAGGAAGAAAACAAATGTAAAAGGAAGAAAACAGAAACCAGGGAGCCAAGCTGGCATTTGCCTGGGTGGCAGTTCCCCCACGGCATTTCCCCTCCTCCGCCCTTGGCCATCTGCTTCCTCCTGGGGACAGTGCACCCCACCCTCCACTCGGTCGTCGCGGCCCCCACAAAGTACAACGTCCAAAGTCGAAGTCCACCGCCCTGAGGACTCCGTGGCTGGCCAGCCCAGATCTTCCACGCTGCAGGCTCAGTGGGCGTGGCGTGCCGAGTCGCAGTGGCTTCGGGACAAGATCTCTGGCAGTCACGTCCTAACTTTCAGACCTCTGCAGCCAGTCACCTGTCTACAAGGTCTTGCTCAGTGGGAGAGGAAGACTAAAAGCCACGTGACCGCGCAGCACACACACCTTCCCAGGCAAGTTGCGAGTGCTGGGGAGTAGCGAGCCGGGCGGGCTGGGGAGTAGTGTGCAGCCCAGGTCGGTCCTCAGTGTCTTCGGGGCAGGCCTGGTGCCTCCATCCGAGGGCTGCCTCTTTCTGAAGGGAAAACCCTGCGCACCTCTTTGCCAGTCATGTGTTTCGTTTTGACTAGGAAACTTATTTAAAGACTTGTCGTCGAGGCTACTAGCCTCCATCCCTATGTAGTCCAGGCTGGCATAAAATTCCAATCCTATCCCTCTGGGGTGCTGGGAACATGATTTTGAAAGACACGCAGAACCATGAGCAAATAGCCCAGCGTCTTAAGTGACTTTTAAGAGCTCTGCGCCAGCTTTAGCCAGCCACACAGAGCCAATGCAGAAAGTTTTGTGGGGGCTAATTTGAATGGAAGTCATTTGGGCTGGCAACTGTGAGCTGGTTTCAGTATTGCATGAGTTAGAACCACTCAGGTTTTCTAGAGCAGTAAACTTTTTAAAAGTATTTTAAAATATTACCTTACTCACCTAACGTTTTAGTAGTGTGATGGACATAATTGAAGTTAACTCCATTGCATTTCATTTATATCAGAGAATAGATGAGCACGTATTGAATAATGAGTTATATTTGAGTCAAAGTCAGTGTTACTGTATGGGACTTGACGTACAAGCCACGTTTCTATTGTACAATCACATCTCGTTTGCTCCTCATTTGGTGGACTTTTTTATTTTTAGTCATCAATTTAACAAACGTGTTAAATTGTAATGTTAAATACCACCTTTAAATAATGCCCCCCAAGCGAAACGTCCCCTTTATTAAACAGCCTCTTGGAAAGGCTGGCCTCTGGGCCTCTGTTCTTACTTCTCCTATTTTTCCCCTTGCTGGCTCTGGGTGACATCAGGGTCGGTCTTGTGAAATCTGGTGTCTGCACACTTCTCACTTCTCATCTTCCCTGACCAGTCAGTAGCCATTGTCACAGATGTACTCCGTCTTAGTAGCCATTCTTTCTTCATTTGACCTGCAGCTTATTGAATTCTCCTGTGTCCCCACCCCACTGGTCACTGAGGCTTCTCAATCACTGAATGTTAGAGTGCCACAGGGTCCAGGTCTTGGCCATCTTCTTTTTCTAGAGATACATGCTCCCATGATGATTTCTACCTGGAGTCATTAGTCCCTGGCTATAAGTAACATCTATAAGATGATGCCTTCCAAATTATAATCTCTAGCTTTGCTTCCTTTTAGGTTCACAAGCATACATCCAGCTCTTTATTGATGTGTCCAACTAGCAATCTGATAGGTGTTGTCATTTAGTATATGCAAACAGAACTATTGATGTCGCACACAATGCGCTCTGTCTTCTCCTCTGCTTTCTTTGAGTAACCTTCCATAGCTCAGTAAAAACTGCTGCCGTTCATGCAGGTAACAATCCAGGAATGGTTATTTTCTGCCCGCATTGGGGATTGAGCCTGTGTATCACTGGCAAGCGCTCCACTTATGAGCTATGGCTCCAGCCCTAGGACTTGCTTTTAGTTGGTTGGGTTTTGTTGTTGCTGCTGTTTGAGACAGGGTCTTGCTCTGTAGGCTGGGGCTGTCTTAGAACTCACTGTGTAGACCAGGCTGGCCTCAAACTCACAGAGATTCATCTGCCTCTGTCTCCTGAGTGCTGTGACTGGGGGTATGCATGACCACACCAGGTTTGACTTCTTTTCATCTGAGACCCCACACGTAAGCATCCAACAAACTCTGTGGACTGTACCTCACTGCCTTCTCCCTCTTTTTTTTTTTTTTTTTTTTTTTTGGTTTTTCGAGACAGGGTTTCTCTGTGTAGCTTTGCGCCTCTCCTGGAACTCACTTGGTAGCCCAGGCTGGCCTCGAACTCACAGAGATCCGCCTGGCTCTGCCTCCCGAGTGCTGGGATTAAAGGCGTGCGCCACCACCGCCCGGTGCCTTCTCCCTCTTAAGCTAAGCCATAGGAGATGTTTCTGCTGTGGCTTCTCTAGAACCATTCTCCAAAGAGCAGTGGAAAAAAATTTTTCTAAAAATTAATTGATTTATTATGTATACAGTATCTTTTAATTATGTTTACATGTGCTCTGTCTGCATATATGCCTGCAGGACAGAAGAGGGCACCAGATCTCACTACAGATGGTTGTGAGCCATCATGTGGTTGCTGGGAATTGAACTCAGCACCTCTGGAAGAGCAGCCAGTGCTCTTAACCTCTGAGCCATCCAGCCCAAAAATTTTTTTAAGATATGTCAAAATTTTTACTCTCTTCAAAACTCTCTAGTAGCTTCTCATCAGAACGATTAAAAAGCAAAACAAATAAAACAACTTTCACAGTGGTGTTAAAGGCCTGGGATCTAGCCCCTCACTCCCTGATCTCTTCAGCCTCCCCTGTCTGCTACAGTGACAGTTCTACATAGTGACTGCCAGGAAGAAGCATATACAGTGTGGATGTTCTACATAGTGACTGCCAGGAAGAAGCATATACAGTGTGGATGTTCTACATAGTGACAGCATGGATATACCAGACAGAAGGATGACTCCGGTCCAGGTGGGACACTGCTCAGAATAGCAAGAAATTAAAAATAAGAATTACATATTTCTGTAATTTTTCCATGTAATATTTTTGGATTGTGGTTAAGCCCATGAAACTGAAACTGACGAAAAGCGACCGTGAGTCAGCACAGACTGCTGTATCCTGTGAAACTGTGATATCTTAAAACATCCATCATTGCTGCTAATGTTAAAACGGTACAGCCATTTTTCTTTTGAGTGTCATTTGGACACTACCTTTCCTTGAAATCAATTCTATTTTTTTTTTTTTTGGTTTTTTTTGAGACAGCGTTTCCCTGTGTAGCTTTGCGCCTTTCCTGAAACTCACTCTGTAGACCAGGCTGGCCTCGAACTCACAGAGATCCACCTGCCTCAGCCTCCCGAGTGCTGGGATTAAAGGCGTGTGCCACCACCGCCCGGCTGAAATCAATTCTATTTTTAAAAACAAATCATCTTCCTTGTTTAGAGATTCGTTTTTTATACAAGCTCTCATTTTGTCTTCTAACTATAGAAAATGCAAGAAATGAGCTGGATGGATATAGTAGCACTTGTGTATAACCTTAGACCTTTGAATATATTTACGAAAAAGAACGGGCAATAACTTGGCAGAGGGTGAGGAGGAAGGCTAAAAGACAGGATCCCCAAGATAAAAAAGTAGATACCCAGATGAAAATCAGTTTTTCGTTTCTGCTTTTTGTGCTCTGACAGAGGCAGTTTTTAAAGTAATTAAGCATTTGCTCTCTCGAGGGCTTCCTCTATGTGCTATGGCGATGTTTAGAGTCAGGTGACCAAGCAGTATTTATAGTTGTGGAGGGGACTGAAGAAGCTCTGGGAGCTGGCTTTGTTGTGGAGTTAGCAAATCCATGCCATTGTGAAATCTGCATATATGTAAAGAGAAGATGAAATAGAGTTAGATGCGACGGTGGCTCAACCCATGCTATATGTGCATCGAGTTAACGTGACCTGCATCTTAGAAGAACATGTAGAAAATGTTTTCATATATTAAGCCCCCTTTCTTCATATACATAATCCTTATAAAATACACATACTTATGTGTGTTTATGTATCTGAGGAATATTTATGTTTTCTTCATATATATGTGTGTATATATATATACATATATATATAAACATATATGAACAAAGAATAGTTCCATGTCCTTGTATGTATACCTAACATCCACAGATAACCATTATTAACTTTTTGGCATAGTTTTTTCCTGTCTATTTTATCTGTATTTTGCATTAAAAAGCTGGGGTCATCCTATATATACTATTTTATATCAACTAATCATTACAGAAGGATTTCATCCTGTCACTTCATTTATTCATAATATTCATAAACATGGTTAATGGTTTGATAGGATTCTGCCATGGGAACAGATAACACTTTACACTGCTATTCGCCAGAGTAGGGGTCTTTTTTTGTTGTTGTTTCTTCAGTACTAGAGACTGAACCCCAAGCTTTTCACATGATAGACAAGCACTCTGTCACTTAGTTGCCCCGCTAGCCCTTTTTAATTTTTGAGATAGGGTCTTCGTTAGTTGCTCGAGTTTGGTCATGAACTCACTCTGCTGCCCAGGCAGCCTTGAGCCTGTGGTCTTCCGCCCAAGTTGCTGGGGGTATAGCTGTTCCCCCATGACTGACGTGTGGCCTTTCAGGTGTTTGCCCCTGTAGTAGTAGTTACCTTACCAAACACCTGACAAAAGTCAACTTAAGGGAAGATGTGTTCCAATTCAGAGGACTTCAGGGGAGGTATAGTGTCAAGATCCTGAGGCAGTTGGTCACATTTTGCCTATAGTCAGGAAGCCAGGAGAGATGAAGGCTATGCTCAGCTCAACTTCCTTTCCTTTTCCCTTTTTTCCTTTTTCCCTTTCCCTTCCTTCCTTCCTTTCAAGATTTATTTATTATGTATAGAGTGTTCTGCCTGCATGCCAGAAGAGGGCACCAGATCTCACTATAGATGGTTGTGAGCCACCATGTGGTTGCTGAGAATTGAACTCAGCACCTCTGGAAGAGCAGCCAGTCCTCTTAACCTCTGAGCCATCTCTCCAGTCCTTGGGGTGCTTTCTCAATACCAAAGCAATGCTCCTGTTTCTGTGTATACATGTGTATGTATGTGTACATGTGGGAGCATGTGAGTATGGTTGTACATGCACATATATTCACATGTATTGTGAAAGCCAGAAATCAACCTATGGGATTGTCCCTTAGGATGGCCACCCACCTGGATTTTTGAGGCAGGGTCTCTCACACTGGGATTTGGAGCAAGCCAGTTCAGCTTGGCTGGCTAGCAAGCCCCAGAAGACCTCAGGTCTCTTCCTCCCCAGCACTGGAAAATCAAAGCGGTGGGAGCTTGAAATAGCTTGTTACATCACGTCACAACCAGGAAGCAGAAAGTGATGGATACATACTCAGTTTACTGTCTCCTTTTTATACAGTCCAGG